ACGATTAATTACCAATATGTTGTTATTAAACGAACGACTGGTTACCAGAATATTGTTGTTAAACGAACGATTAATTACCAATATGTTGTTATTAAACGAACGACTGGTTACCAGAATATTGTTGTTAAACGAACGACTGATTACCAAGATATTGTTGTTAAACGAACGACTGATTACCAGAAGATATTTAGTAACTTAGTCTTTATTCGCATTTGAACCTGTTATCCAAACTGTTGAAACGTTTTTTTTTCAGAGCTCATAGGCTGGTTTGGAATATCTTTATCTAGCGCAGGGTTTTGATTTAAGTGCCTTGAACAATCAGGTATCGATTTCATTTCCTCGGTAACACTGGAAATGCGTTACTTATATACCCCCCCCCCCCGTTATTAGTGAGCAAATATCTTACATGAGACGATAACTCTATCGGATCCTATTTTACTGAAACATTAAGTGTCAATGATGCACTTGTAGTCCTAGACATATCTTTTATCATACTTTCTGAGCAAAACGTGCTTCAATCTCATAGATTATATATATATACTATCAGTTTTTCTTCCGCTTACTAGTTCTTAAGTACCATTAAAGTATGAGTTTATCCGATAGTTTATGAAATGGACAATTTCATGCACGTGCCACTGGACACCCTTAACTTGTTATGGTAGTTACAGAAACTAACGTCACTCGACCTGATGGTCCTGACAAGAGATTTACGGTACGATTTTTGAAATAAAGGTTCTCGTACAGACATAATACATCAGACAAAAACTACTCACCTACAGTCATTTCAAACGTTAATGGATTGTAAAGTTGTAGAAAAAAAATATATTCCTACCCACACGTCGTAAAAAACATTTAGAAAACTGCGGAAGAAAAATGTCTAGAATAAAGTATTTGACGCTTGGCTTTCTGGGTAATTCGTTAAAAGTCACTTTTATGAGAAGTGTTTGTTTTTCTACGTATAAATGCATATAAAATAGTGACAGGCTGTTATCAATAGCCAAATATTACAATTTTCAAATTATGAATATATATATATTATATATTTATTTATCTAAGAGCTATCAAACATAACTTTACGTGTCTTGTTCCTAAAACCAAAGCTACAAAAATGGACAAAAATAGTTTAAAAAATTCATTTTAATACCAGAAGTCTTTCCTTATTTTCTGTTCATCATTTCTAATGAAACTGCTTTTGTTCTGTGGATTGGATGTTCTTGTGTATTTCAGGCTTTATTAAAGAAATTCCATTAAAATGGCAGTCCCTTGTTGGAATAACTTGTGATCATTTAAGGATAACCTGGAATTCTTCAGGGATATATATATTCAAATGAAAAATATATCTGTGATAAACCAATGAAGGTTGTTTTCCTAAGATAATATATTTTTTTTAAGTTAGAGGAGAAACAAATAAAGTTCGTTTAACAACAATATTCTAGTAATCAGTCGTTCGTTTAACAACAATATCCTGGTAATCAGTCGTTCGTTTAACAACAATATCCTGGTAATCAGTCGTTCGTTTAACAACAATAAACCCTCCCAGTGGCTCAGCGGAATAACTCTACACGACTAAGTTACTACATATGATCCCTCCCAGTGGCTCAGCAGAATAACTCTA